TATGAGTCACTTTTATTAGTTTATGTTAAAACTATGTCATCCAACTGGATGGAAATGTTACAGTACATGCAATTCAAATACATAAATCTTATATTTAGGCCTGTGTAAACTTTAACATGGCTCTAAACTCTTCAGCCAACAACAGCCATAAATGAACCCCTGGCATTTTATTAGAGATAATTTTGAGTTAACAACCAGAAACCAAGAGCCAGAGGTTTACAATCGGCAGAATGTATAGCTGTTCACTTTCTAGCACCCCCATGGAGATCTCAAATAACATCCCCAAATGACCAAGTCACAAACACCTACCCACATCATGTCAGCCGGAAGATGGCACAGATGGAGCTACGTGAGTGTGTGTGAAGGAAACCGGTCGTGCGTACTTTACATGTATGTTGCGTAACCTATTTTGATGAATGTTTATGAGTAGAGCAATCTAATGCATTGTTCCTCTGTGTGCAGATGTGGCCTTGGCCTGTGGACTTCACTCTCCAGACCCCAGCTCTCCCATCCAGGGCATCTCCGATGCTGAGATCCATATTTAAATATTTCAAAATGTAATTTATTTTTTGATGGCAAAGCTGAATTTTCATCAGCCATGTTGAAATCATTCTAATATGCTGATTTGCTGCTCAAGAAACATTTCTTATCATTATCAATGTTAAAAACATTTATTTCTGTTTTATAATTTTTGTGGAAACCATGATGCTCTACCATTCAAAGGTCTGGGGTATGTAAGTATTTAAAAAAGTTAATAAATAAAAAATGACACTTTTGTTCAACAAGGGCACATTAAATTGATCAAAAGTGTCAGTAAAAACATTTATAATGTTACAAAAGATTTATATTTCAAATAAATGCTGTTCTTTTGAACTGTCTATTCATATTCAACAATCATAGTTTCCACAATATTATTAAGCAGCAAAAATTGTTTTTAGCATTGATAATAAGAATTATTAACAATTGAATGGTGAATTGGATAGAATGATTTCTGAAGGATCAAGTGACACTGAAGACTGGAGTAATGATGCTGAAAATTCAGCTTTGCCATAACTGGAATAAATTCCATTTTTAAAACATATTCAAATAGAAAACAGTTGTTTTAAAGTGTACTTTGTTTTTGATCAAATAAATGTAGCCTTGGTGAGCATATAAGACGTAATAAAAAAAAACAACGTAATTTATTCAAAACGTTTCCGTTTGGGGCGGGCCTAACTGTTTGACCGACTAAAGCCCCGTTCACACCAAGAACGATAACTATAAAGATAACGATATTAGCGTCCACACCAGCGGACAATATCATCCGTTTATTCTAAGTGCACACTTGTCTGCCGCTTTAAATTCTCAAGCTTGTTACAGCAGGATGGATTCTGATTGGCTGTCAATTTTTTATCGTTCATCAGCTGGAGAAAAAACTTTTTGAAAGTGATTCCAACGATATCGTTTCTCTTTGTCTTTATCGTTATAGTTGTAGTGTGGACTCTGCTATTCTTTAATATTGAGAACGATTTTTAGAA